CTTCGATGTATGTACTTCGGATAATTTCGAGACGAGTGAGACCAGCGATTCGCCTCAGAAAACCCATATCAGCTGTTGATATCCGATATCAAAATTTTTCAGTTATGCTCCACGACACAGGACCGTGTATTAGAATGAGGATAGTCGAAGCATAAGTTTCAATTTCGATGACTGGCTATACTTTTGGGTGGCAGAGGCAGACGAGTCAGATTATGTCTTTAGCGTTCCAGATCTTGTGCCTACGTTTGAGCTTCAACTGAAGATAACTGGAGGCTGGAGTAGAGTCCATAAATTCACTCCATCCAGGTTATTCTTGGCCGTTCTCGTGGTGATCGGCTGGTCAGTTTAGCAAGTAGTAGCTATTTCGCTTTCCATTTTGAAAGCATTTAAAGGACTGGCCCAAACTCGCTGATACTTCTCAATCAACACATGCAGCATTTGTGTGCACCAAGGCTCTACGGAATATCTGTACTCCGGACCAAGTCCAGATGCCTCAGTCCAACGATATATCTCAAAAAGCCATTTCAGCCGCTGGCATTCGGGATCGAAGTTCCTCAGTAATGACCTACGACTCACGATCGTAGGTGAGCATCCGGATGAAGATCGACTTGAATACAACTTGAACTTAGTTTTCAGACTCGGTTATGCTTTAGTCTTAACGGTTCAGGTTAGTTCACAAAGAACGCAGCTGCCAATTTCAATTCGCCAAGCAATCTCTTTCTCCCATTTCCATCACCACTAAACACGACCCTTCCCCATGTACGCGAACTTCTCCACATGCTCCACTGCTTCTCAGTTATCTAGAAAGAACAATGAGCAAAAGAAAAAGCACACTAGGCTTTTCGTTTTAGATACCTGCACACACATACAGTCTGCGTCACCTGCAGCTGCAAGCTTTTTCAAATAACGCAGGGGATTAGTTTCAGAAGATGCCAACAAAAAAGGGTCATCTGCAAACAGCGACATTCTCCTCTCGACATCTCTTAAACCAGTACACTCACAGCCTTTGCTGCTCATGACTATTCTATTCATGTACAACACAAACAGGAGAGGGAACGGAATGCTGAAATGCTTCTACTTCACGTTATATACTCTGAAGCAGCACTTGCTATCAGCATATAGTGGTTGGATGTCCAATAGTAACTGACAATCGATCCCATATGTTCGCAGGCACACTCATAAATTATTGCATGCGATCAAGTCAAAGGATTTCTCCAGATTCACAAGGTACATGTAAACTGAATCAGCGATTCTCTCAAGTCTCATTAATTCTGGCATAAAGCGAATAAGTGGTCAGAGGTACTTCGGAAAGAACTGAAGCCGCACTTCTGTTCATGTACCTTGAAATCAATTTTTCTGTGGCACCTAGTTTCTAGTACCCTTGCGTAAACTTTGTGTTGGAGACTCAATAAGCAAATTCTTCAATGATTGAACCACTCGCTATGGTCCTCCTTTTAAACATAGGTACTACAGCTCACGTTCTGCAGTCCACGGGTGCATGCTCCGTAGCTATTGCTGTTTGACATACACCTGTAGGTCCCAACATGCCGTTTTCGCCTACCGCATTAAACATTTCAGGGCAGATTTCATCAATTTCAGGAGCCTTTCCACTTTCCAAGCTTATCACGGCCTGTGTAATTTCATTTACAGAAATAGTAACATCCGTTCTCTCTTGCTTTACAGGCAAGACTTTCTGCGGTTGCTCGGAGTTAAGGAATTCGTCAAAGTACTCCCTCCATCGCTGAAGAATGTCCCTATCCTCTGTAAGAGGGTGTCCATACTAGTCCTACATGACTTTCAGACTACTTTTCCTTCTATCTCGAAGGTTCAAAAAGATTTTCAGGTTCACCTCAGAACGACCACAATGTGCTTCATCTTCATCTTTATCTTCTATAACGGTTTGTCCCTTCCGTTCACGGAGGCAGACGCGTCAGACATTGCTTGCAACGTTACCGATCCTGTGCCAGAGTCTGAGCTTCGGCAAAAGACAAATGGGGTCTGGAACAAACTCCTTCCATATGTTTGCATCAAGTTAATCTTGGCCGTCCCCTGGGCCTTTTGCCGGTCGGATTTGCAAGGAAATGTTGCTTAGCCTTCCTTGCTGGAGGCATTCGCAACACATGCCCAAGCCATCACAGTTGTGACTTCACAATCTGGAGAATCAGCGTCTGTGCACCAAGGCTCTTTCGGATATCACTATTCCGGACCATGTCGAGACGCGTAAGGCCAGCGACTCGTCTAAGAAAGCCCATTTCAG